TTCCTGCTGCCACCTCCAGGGGTAGCTTGTGCTGTGCTCTAAAGGAGGGGTGGTTGATTTACATAATCACTTGTAACTTTCTCACTCTGAATTTTTGGTGCTTGCTGAATTTCTTTAAGAAAAAAATCATGTCATTTAGATAATGTGAACAGAAAAACAGTGGACTAATATTAAAAACAATTGCAAGCCTATAACTCCACATGAGTCTTCAACTTCACAAATCACAGTTGAACAAAGTAGCCAGACAAGGGGTTGGAAATTCAATTCCTCCTAATAATACATTAATCTCATTCAGCCTGTCCTCTGCACCGAAGAAGATTTGGTATCATTACTAATTATTTATGCAAAGTAGACTGCTAATAGAAAAGGGATTCAAATATTCTTTTGATCCCACAGAATGAAGGGATTCATTGGCACAAAGGTTAAATTCAGATCTTGAGTTCATTGAGTTGCCAGTTGAGTTTGTTGTCTTGAAAGACAGAAATATTGATAATGAAAAAGTCTGGAAAAAAGCAGAATTGTTGCCCTTTGTTTTCCACTGTATTCATGAACTGGTTACTCTTTTGGTTACCAAATGGCAGTGTGTTGCCAGAAAAAAGACCATTTCTGTTTCACTTCTTCCCTGATAGTGCCAGATACAGTTACGTTTCCTTCTGGGCACTTTCACACTGAAACCCAAAAAGCTTTTATGGGAATGCCACTTTATCACAAGGACATATTAGAGGACCAGTTTGAAGATGAAGTTCTGCCAAAACTGTGATCCGCTATTTAAAGAGTTTCCAGACCACTGCTTGTTTTTATGAGTTGATACTTTTACAGTATTTATTGTAACATGAACAGAATTTCTACAGTCACCAAATATGCCCTAAAGAAATTATCTCCATTCTTAGACTTATTTATGAACTGTGTTTAAAAAATAAGTATGCATTTTCAGAAGGAAAAGTAAGTTGTCCTTACTCATAGCAGAACTGAATAAAAATTAAAGGAATAAATCACTGAATAACAAATGATTGGTTTTCCTTTTTAAAAAAATATATAGATGTACATATTCTTAGGAAATTATGAATTTTTATTAACAGTAAGAATATTAATATAGCAGAATGATATTGTCAGTGTGAAGTAACAGAAACAAAGTGCGTTTGATTGTTTATTTTAGTTCAAAATTTAATATAATCAGTCCTACAAACACTGCTTTTTTGCTCGTGTCTGAATGCCACATATAATGCCCTGATTATTAAAACTTCCCATTTGTTTTTTCCTGCTCTAACAATATCGCTGGTGTTCAAAGCAGGAACTAAAAACCCCAAAGTTGCATCTCTTTGACTTCAGCGCATTGTGTTTGTCCGGGAGCCCCTCTAACGCTGTCGTTTGTTTCCAGGCGAGGCGGGTGCAGGCAGCGATGCTGGGCCACCGGGCCCTGCGCAGCATCCCCCTGCCCTCCCAGGTATGGCTGCTGCGGCCACAGCGGCTCTTGCTGTGCCTGCAGCCTTACCCACAGCCACCTCCGCGGGTTTTTTCCACGCGTAGTGTATCCATTCACTGCCATTGACCATCCACCGAGTGGCACTGTTGTGTAGAGGAAAAAAAAAAACCAGCTTCATTTTCATCACTCCCTGGCTGTGCTGTGTGTGGCCCTTCAGTTACATTCACTGTACGCCAGCATCCTTCATTATAAATATGTGTTTTCCTTGTGCTTGGTTGTCCATTTCACACGTTGTCTCTTTTAGTCGTGTTACTTCCCTGTTGTTATATTTGAGGCAGGTATTTGGAGCTGAACATCTGCTTTAATGCACTTGACCGAAGTGGATCTCACCTGCCTCGGCCTGAAATAATAAGCATAGGGATTTGTGTGATGAGATGGCTTGAATAAATTTGAAAAGTACTGGAAGCCTTTGTTCCAATTTTGGTGCAGGAGAAAAAGGGAAGCTAATTTATCTGAAGTTTAAAAGTTTTATAAAACTCACATCATTCTTTTTCCAAATGTGAATACTCTACATCCTGACTGTGGCAAATACAGAGTAATAGATGAGCAGATCAGAATGGTTTTCAATTATAGATAGTGTCTTACTTCTGTTCTTCTTGGTATCTTTGTCCTTACTCTCCTTATAACTGTGAAAGCTGTTCTTTTCCTCTCTAGGAGCCAAACACAGAAGGAACCATCGTTTTTCTATCTTCCTGTGACTTTTCCTATATTTTAGTAGACACCCCCAAAGTTCATTATTATCTCCCCTATAACTTAACACAAACTTAGTAAGACCTACAGCTTGCTTTCCTTTCACTGTAAGTCTTCTTCACTCTTCTCATCATTATCTTTTACTTTTATTGTGAGTCATTATTGATCACATTACATTTAAAATTTCCTTCTTTGCAGGACATTGCATGTCTCCACCCTGCCAGCAATACCAAGAGTTAGGCTCCTTTTCCTACTACCACATCCGTGTATTTTCCAAATGGTTTTGTGTCAGAGCACTTGTAACCCTGGGGTCGGCCCCAGTATTTTTAGTGACAGAAAAGTAGTGAGCCAGTTAGAAGCCAGCAAGTGGAGGTAACGCTGTCCCTTTTTACCTCAGAAGTGGATGTATTCTTAGTGCATGAAATCCTGTGCATCATTACTGTGAACTATTTATGCATTTTAGTGTGCATATATATATATTTTTGAGACATCCTACGCAGTAATGTGTTCTGACTACTGCTTACATCAGGGATCCTTAGGTATTTGTTCTTTGTGCCTCATAAGCAATTGATTTCCATGCTTGGAATTTCTTCAGCCTGTTTCATATAGGCTTTAGGACCTTCTGGTATATGCTTAGATGGTCACAGATTAGATTTCTCTAATCTTATTTAAGGACGCAAAATGTATTTATCTGAGATTGATAGAATGAGCAGAGAAAAATGAAAGTTTTGATTCGGTGATGTTCTCAGGTTGCTGATTAAGCTGCTAAAGAAGAAGGAGATGAGTTTGCTTAGTTTGTAGTTTATTGTGTCACTTTATACATTTTGTTTCTCTATGGAAGGTAGGAATTTTGTTCTTTTTTGTTTGTTTTGCTTTTTTTTTTCCCCTGAGGAATAATCCAAAATTAAAAACTCTCTCAAATGACCTTCTTGTTAAGCTATTGAGTAAGGAGAATGTACCACTCTGTTTTTTAAGAAATATGCAGAATCACTAAGACACACAACAGGGAAGATACATATGGCATTTTGTGTAATCCTTCCAAGAACCTGAAATCTCTGCATTGGTGCTACAGTGTTATTTGCAAAGTTCTATGAGGGTTACTAATGCCTCACAAATAATACATCTGAAAGACTTCCAAAGCATCATGGTGAGTTCAGTTAACTGTTGTGCAGCAGCTCCACTAAACTTCTGTGCTGGGAAAATGATAGGTGGCTTTTTTGCTATATTAGGGAAAACAAGTGTGATTGGTGTGACTTGTCTTTCGGCTTTCTTATTTACAGTTTTTAAAATTATGAGTCCTCTGAAAACTGGAAAAGCCTATTACAGTCCAAGAACTTTGCTTTATGACTTGCAACACATTGTAATTACTCATAAGTGCTGGTCTTTCTGTCTTGCTTAATTCTTCGTCACATCCCCAGATAATCCATGTCACAGTGCTGTTCACAGGGTTATAGTCAGAAAAAAATTTAGTGCTTCCTGATGAGAATTTTCTCAGATTTCCTCACTCATGCAGAAGGATCAGGTGCATCCTAAGCTTTCTTCTTACCTGTATATAAAACACACAGAAATAATACTTTTATCACTTCTGTTTTACTGCTTCTTTATCTTAGTGTCATTACATCTTGTATCACTGTTATTTTTCATCTTTATTATACTTTTAGTCCATAAGAACCAGATTAGTCTAAGCTCTTGGTGTTATTTGAGCAAATTCCCTTTTAGGACAGTTGTATTGTTTTGTCCACAAAATCCCAGCGATTTTCTTCTCTTGTTTGGTTATGCAAACAGTTGCATATTCCATTTCTCTAATCTTTGATCCATCTTTTGAAGTGTAGCTGTTTACTAAGCGAAGTGGTGGCCATAAGGATAGTTCTCCTTCTTTACAATTGTCTATTATATTTTGGACTTTTTTTCTTAGAGCTGAAAGACAGAATATAGGGGAAAAAATTCCTTACAAATAATTTTTCCATCATTTTACCAAGCTGTATTATTTCCTGTGCATGCATTCCTCAAATATATGTAAAGTGTTCCACTCTCAAAGTTATCTACAAAATTTTACCACGTAATCTGCTTATTTGCAGGTGAATTGGGTTAAGCGCAGGTCATGCAGTCAAGAAGTATATGAAAAACATACATTGCTCGTTGTTTAAGATTTTTTTTTTAATCTTGATCCTATGTGGAAGTTATCTTCTTATTACTAGGATGGGAAAGACAGCTTTGGTCTGTCCACCAAATAGATTTTTATATGTTTAGCATTTAATTTGGCTACTCTGACTTAGCTACATGGATTTCTTTTATAAATGGTTTATTTGCTAAAATATGGAATTTCACATGTTCCAAAGCTATTTTAGGTTTTAGCTACTGTAAAGCCACACTTTCATTGTAAATTGCCACTATGAAATGCATGAGAAGTCATCTTCTTACATAAAGGCAACTGTAAGGATAATGATGTTGCCAAGTGACATGAATTTATCCTAAAATTAGAAATCTAAAAACTTCCTTGTGACTTAATTATTTCTGCTGTTCGCCATGCAGTGTTTTCTCCTTTTCCACCTCTAGAATTATTTACAGAATTGGAGATTCATGTTTGCCTGATTAATGTATATCCCATTTCTTTATAAAATGTGAAGGCAAAAGTCAAGTGAGATCTACAGCCTCCGTCTCCTGCACTTTTAGGACTCTGTTCAGACTAAGTAGTAGGTGGTGAGTGACTAGAGGGGGACTGGGAAGAAACAGAAAAATGCAGTTGAATGAAGTTGGTGGAAAGGAAATATTATATAAAGGAGAAAGTTGGAATAAGGGCGTTGCAGAAGCCGAAGAGGCAATGTGGAGGGGTTTAAGGAAGAGGAGGAGGCAGACAGAGCAAGGTCCACAGGAGTATGAGAAGCAGGATGTAAAATGTAGGAAGGTCATGGAAGAGATGAGCAAAATGAGGCAGCAGAGAATGAATGAGAAGGTGGGAAGCAGTTTATATGCCAATTTTCTTCCAGAAAACATTGAGAATATTAAACCTGGATCCTTTCTTGGGTTTTGTCCTTTTTGGTCTATTTTGTCACATGTGATGTTTTGTTCTTTGCTAGTTCATTCTCTTCGCATGTATTAGTCTTCTTGCTAAGAGGACATTTTAGATAGATCTATTTTTATCCCCTTAAGCAAATGTGAATTGCTGGTTTCATGTGGCTGTGCAATCTATGCTGCGCAGGTCAAACACTCTGGAGATTTTGGCTTGGGCTTTGTTTCCACCCAGCAGGTGGCCAAGCATGGAACCACTGACTTCCATACCACTTTGATGACAGTTACCATTCTGGATATTAAATGAATTAAGAAGTTTCTGTATTAGTAGGTTTTACTGGTTTTTTCCTTTTGTTTAAAATGTTTGATCCCACCAAAGCTGGCCTCCTTTTGTATCTAAATTAGTATCTGAATTTCCTTCTGTGCTTTTTGCAGCCTTTTCTGTCTCTATTTTCTTTAATTTCTTTGTCTTTTAGTTTTATTTCTCTAGAAACCTGTATCATGGGAGAAGACAGCAGTGCATGATGAAGGGGAGACTAACCCCTTTCAGAAAAGGAGTTAGTTTTGTGTTTTCAGAATTGTAGTGCCTCCACTATGACAAAACACTGAATACATTGCAAGGTCTGTGCACAAATATGCACCATATCTGAGAGTAAAACTGGCATAGACGGTTGGAGCAGCTCAGAGCAAAGAAAGATGAACCACTGACATCAGCGAGGGAGATGGTTTTGAGTTCAATCACAGCCTTGCAAAGGAGATGAAGCTGTGCTCGTGACATCTGAATTATTTAACTTCAGTGGGTCCTTCTTGGTGCTATAGAAGGTAGCATGAAAAGTACACACAGAAAAAAAAGGAAAGGAGAAATGGAGATCATAAACAGACTCATCAGAATAGACAACAAAACAAGAAAAGGGAAGAATTCTACAGCTGTAGATTTACATGCTATTTTAGTTTGGTTTCAGAAAATTCTAAAATTGCATTGTGTCACACTAGGTTGATTAAAACCTAACTGCAAGGTTTTTTAAAATTAGCATCTGTCCTAATGCAATATTTTCGTATTGAAAGTTAATGTAAACTGACATATGATTTGGTTTTTTTCTTCTGGAGTGAATGAAAATAAGTTTTTAAGTTAAGTATTTCAAAACAGTTTGTGGGCCTCGACTGGAAGAAATGCTCCTTATCAAAGACTGTCAGACTACATACAGTGTCATGGTGAAACAGCCCAGGCATCTACTCAGCTGTCTTCACCAAGACACTGAACGACACTAGATTCTTTAGAAAAGCTCCATGAAACTGCAATAGGTAACTATTAAGTAGACATCAGCAAAATGCTTGTTAGGTGGAGATGGCCTTAAAATTTGAAGCATGAGAACTTACATTCTTTCCCAAACTTCACTTAGTTTTTCCTGTTTTAAGAAAACAGATATTGCCATCTAGATGTTCATTGTCCAACCCATTCTTGGAATCTGGCATTCTTGTTCTTAGCTTTCTTTGCTGAGTTTTGTAGTTCATTTGTTGAGAGAAAAAAGATTTTCTTTATACTGTGGATGACATCACATTTTTTGATTAGTAGTATTAGGAGATTGTAGTTCTGTTCATTATGCTGCACAGAGAAGATCCTCAGTATGTGGACGTAATAGAGTATACATGCTGAGATAGTATTTATATATATATATACACACACATACTATATATAGTATGTTTGTATATATATCTATATATACACTAAGATTCTGTATTTTTGTCTTGTACAAAAATTAAGTTCCATGTATGTCAGAAGAGTCCTTCAATCTCACAGTGCATGCTGCCACACTTCAACATTTCATTCTATGTTGAGCTATCTGTGAATCTCAATGAACGTCAATTAAGGCAGGGAAATACTTAGAAGAAAAAGAAACTGCCCGTTGATTAGATTTTTTGTTAATGTATACTTGTTTTACAGGCCAAAGTTCAAAAAACATCAGCTCATCCCCAAGCATAGAGAGCTTGCCTGGAGGACGTGAATTTACAGGATCTCCCCCTTTGTCTGCATCAAAAAAGGATTCCTTTTTCAGTACAATCTCCCGCTCCCGTTCCCAAAGCAAAACTATGAGCAGAAAAGAATCGGTGAGTACTTTTAACTTTTTAAGCTGTTTTAATGTCACACTGCATTACTTGTTAAAGCAAATAATTTCTCTCACTCATGAAGCACTTGCACTTGAAAATGTTTCCCTAAGCACACGTTAACGGCAAGAGCAGAAATAAGCCATTTAAACTGTTTCTGTTGAGTAACATCTCCATTATGGCTTCCATCCCATAATCTTACCTGAAATGAAACTGTGAAGGCGCCTGTTGCCGCTGGGAAAGGGAGAGAAGTTTAGTAAGTGTATTTGGTTTGTAAGACTTTTGGTGTAGTCCTGAAGTCAATAAACAGTTCAGTGGGGAGCACGAATGCTCAGCAGATCCAAACATGTCCATCTGTTGTCCTTGAAATTCCTTAATACATGAGAGGTTTCCCAGTGTCTGTAGCATCTGTAGTCTGCAGTCACAGTTCTATTTCTTGCACAGTCCTGACCTTCCATTTGGCCACAAGATACTATTATTGAAACAGATTGTTTTCATCCAAGAAAATCAGCTCTTCGATGTGTTCCAAAGAAATTCTCATCCAATCGAAGATATTTTAGGAGCGCTACTTTGGTAAACCTCATATGCCATGGAGCTGGATGATTTTTCTTTATTTTCTATACACATTTCCCATTGTCTTTCTGCTGATTAGTAACCAGCTACAGAGTAGATGGAAAGAGTTGTATTTTTGTAAGGTGAAGGCATAGTGGTTTCCTCCATTCCATTTTCACAAATGTATGCTCATATAACTTCCTACTGATTTCAATAAATAGGAATTGTAATTGCAGCTTTTCTTCAGGTGTTCAGAGGTAATTGTGTGCAGAAGTTTAATCTGAACATATCAGCATTTTTTATTTTGATTTTTGATTATATTTCAAATGTTATAAGGAAATACACAACTTTGCACAACTGTGTTCATTTTTTGTCCACTGAAAAAGAGGGTTTAATTCTTGTTCCACATGCTTTAATGTCGCCTAAAGAAAAGCTGTGTTTTCTGGTTAGTCAACAAGAAGCTATAATTTTGGTTTGTGTACATTTAAGACACTGAATTGAATTTAAAGCTAAAACAGCAACTTAATGTCTCTCAGCTTGTCCCCATGAGTTGAAGAAAAATAAATATACTGATAGTGAATTTTTCTTTTTATGTTGTTTAACAAGATCTAAATTCAGCTTTCATTTGCAACTGTTGTTCAGGCCAGAACGTGGGTTTTTTACACTAGTAGAGTTTAAGAATAATTCCTTCTTAGTTTTATAATAGGAGACATAGAAAAAAAATTCCATTGTAATATTCATACTCAGTTAGAATCCATTAACAATTAACATGTTTTTCAGGTAAGTAATTTTCCAAATTTGTGATGTTTTTAAATTATCTTTTTTTAGGATTTTCCACAAAGAAGTCTTCATTGGATCAAATCTGTAGTCCTTATGATAATTTTCAGTAGATTGATAATCACAAAAACTAAGCAGAGCATAGATTTTCAAAAGAATTCTTTGAACTGAAATACATACTTTATATTGTAGCATTTAATGATTAAACAGTTAGAAAAGGTTTTAGGCTACCAAAACCTATTTCCTTCTGTTCAGTTTTTGAGTGACCTTTAATATAAGGAAAAGGAATTTGTAGCAGATCCAAGAGGAAAAGATTTGTTTAAGTCTTTTCTCTGTTGCTCAAGACAATGTTTGGTTTTTGTTTTCCTTTAAATTTCATGGTACCTGTTTTTCCATGTAAAGAAGAAAACCCCAAAGACTTCATCCTGAGTTCCCAAAATAGTTGCATCAGAATACTCCAGTCTCATAGTTGCTTCATTTACAGCTGTTTTCTGGAGGCAGACAACGACTTGAAAACATAATGGGTTCACAACTTTGTTTTAAACTGAACTGGTTTAGATTTTTACATTTGTCTCTAATAATTATACAGATTATGTTGTTAAGTATTGTGGAAATTACCTTTGTTGGAACATGGCCATGCATCAATCACTTTATAAAAAGATGCTTTTAAAATCCGTCATTCTTGGTGTAATGGATGGAGTCCATTTCCCCTTCATTTTTGTACTTCTAATTAATGTCTTTCCCAAGCAAAGTGGAAATGGAATACATACATAAAAATACATCCACCGACATAGAGTGTAAAAAAAAAAAGTTCTTTTCACAGAACAGAGGACATCACTGTGACATTTTCATGGCATGAACAGGAATGTCATCATCACAGATTGCACTTAGAGTACTGTGTTCAGTTCTGGGCTCCTCTGTACAGGAGAGACATGGTCATGCTGGAAAGAGTCCAGCAAAGGGCCACCAAGATAATGAAATAACTGGAGCACCGCCCCTGTAAGGGAAGGCTGAGAGAGCTGAGACTGTTCAGCCTGGAGAAGAGAAGGCTCAGGGGAATCTCATCCAAGTGTATAAATACCTGAAGGGAGAGTGCAAAGGGTATGGAGCCAGGCTCTTTTCAGTGGTGCCCAGTGACAGGACCAGAGGCAATGGACACAAACAGAAACACAGGAAGCTCTGTCTGAACATCAGCAAACACTTTTTCAGTGTGAGGGTGACTGAGCACAGGCACAGGTTGCCCAAGGAGTCTGTGGAGTCTCCATCCTTGAAGATATTCAAAAGCCACCTGGACACAGTCCTGTGCAACTGCCTGTGGGTGGCCCTGCTTGAGAAGGGGGTCGGGCATGTTGACCTCCAGAGTTCCCTTCCAACCTCAGCCATTCTGCAATTCTGTGACATGATAAACTTGTCTAAATTCTTTCTTTCCTAAAGCCTGTCCAACAATCTGAACTTTCTCTGAGAGAGCTGTAATCAAAATTGATACTTAACTGGATTCACTGCCCCCAGGAGTAGAATGCATCCATTTCTCATATCAGGACTTCTTAAGGTAGTAACAGTTGCATTGCATTTAGTCTTCTAGATGGATTTTTTTCCTCCCAAATACAAAGATCAATGGAATTACTTTTTTACTGGTGCTGTCAGAAACAGATGTCCACTGTTTTATTTAGTAAAAGAAGTGAATCTAGAGCCTCAGGGATAAATGCACAATATCAGATCATGTATTGGCAACCTATGGCAGCCTGATGTTTTTCATGTTACTGTGGAGTGGCACTCAGCTGTATGTTAACATAAGGACCACCAAATGTGTTTGAAAGTCTGTTTTATGCTCAGCAGTAAGATGGTTCCCTTCCTCTACATAGCTTGTGGCTTTCTGACAGGAATAACTTAGGTTGCAGTTTCTGGAGCTGTCTTCCCATGAATGAAAACAAGAACATATAATATATAATGCTCTCCAGTGCCCGTTATCTTCTGGCTGGGTCAGTCTTGTTGGAATAAAGTCCTAGAAAATTTCCTCACATAGACTGTCTACTGCCCTCTCCTTTTCAGCAGAGGTGGGAAATTGGGTGCATTTGTGGTCCGTTTATTTCTCATTATGTTTCATTTACATCTCCAGAAACTGTTAAGGACAGTTTACCCCTCTTTTTGGCAAACAGCGAAGCTGCTTAGATGTTGATTCTGGCAAATACAGTTGGCTGATCTCAGTTTCTGGCAGAATATTCTGTAAATTGCTTTCAGCCATAGAGATGTGCCAGAGAGCGGACTTTGAGTTGAACAATATAAACATTTTAAAACTTTCACAAAATGCAGGAGAAAGATGGTTTTGACTGAAAAGAAAGTTTTTATTTGGAAAAGCTGTTTATTTTAATAATATGCAGTTATTTCTATTGTACATAGAGGGTTTCAAATTAAGAAAAATCAAATTATCCATTTGGAAAGTACATTAGTTAAAAAATTCCCAAGAAGGAAACATTTCTAAGGAAAATCTGAAGTAGTTTCTTTACTAAAATAATTTACAAATGTGATCAATCAGAATCCTCATGTCTTTGCAAATAAAGTATCCTGAACAAAAGTGTGATGCATCATGCTGGTTTTTATTGCATAGACCTTTTAATTAAATCAGATTTGACAACATATGCTATTTTCCCCACAAGCAGGTAGAAACAACTGTTACTGTCTGTGATGTTTGACTGATTTGAAGTTAGCTGTGAATACCCCTACAGGTTCAAAAATTAACGTATGCCATTATTTTCAATTAAATACTGCTCTACTGATTTAGGAGCCTGATTCTAAGCATACATGCTTGACAGTTTTACTCAATTAGAAGTAGTATTTTTTAAAAAAATCAGATAATAAAATAAATACTAAACAACCACACCAAAAAAATATAATGCATGCAAAAATTCCTTTGAAGAAGAGCATGCCTTTTGTGCATGGTACACGTTGGAGACTTTTTTTATTCCCATATCTTTTCTGTGACTGTCATTTTTAAAATATCTTCAAAAGGTTTGAAGCAAAGTATTTGTCAGTCCAAACTTGTCCATGCCAAACATTCATTTGGAAATACAAATGCTATGATGGAATGTCCTTTTTAAGATAAGCATCATAAAATGTGCTCAGAAAAAGTTGGCATCTGTGCACAACAGCCAACTCCCTGATCAGTATGTTGGGTCTGTTAGGCCTAAAGTTAAAGACATGATAATTGTTCTCAGTGCCACTAAGTTTAATGAACTTCAGTGCCTTAACATTTAACTGCAGTTAATAATGTAGGGCATTTGTCTTGCTTACTCTGATGTGATAAGCCAATTCAGACACCTGAAAAATGCAGTTTATTTAGTACTTCAGTGCTTGTCTAATTTTAGGGATAGATGAAAAAGATACTAAATCTGAGGTGCTGCCAGGTTATGTGAACAGAATTCGTAGAAAAACCTCTGTGAGATTTTGGCAGTGGGATTCTTTTCTCCGTTGCCTTCCTCAGGCTTCCACAAGATGCTGTAACTGAAATGAGAGAGCTGAAAATGGTACAAGGAAAAATAAGCTGCCTTTTAGTGTTTTCTATTAGAAATACTTGCAAGTTTCATACACTTTCGTAAAACGACAGCTGTATGCATGAGTGGCAGCTTTGAATCCTGATGCTGCTTATCTTTTTTGGAGTGATTCATTTCAGGGAAAAG